GCACAAAATTTGTGCACTCAGGGGGGGTCCCTCAGCCTGGCCTGCGATCTCTCACAGTCCGGGAGCCCTTGGGGGATGTCCGACTGATGGCCCCCATCGGGGAGCGGGCCTAAGCCTGCAGTCAGACATCCTTAGCACTGCCACGGAGGCGGGAGAGGCTCCTGCCACTGCTGCTGTGCTTGCCAGCCTTGAGCCCAGGTTCTGGTGCACTGACCACCAGAGGGCAGCTCCTGCATTGAGTGTCTGCCCCCTGGTGGTCAGTGCACGTCATAGCGACCAGTCATTCCGACGTTCGGTTGATGGATATTAGCCTTTTATTATATAGGACTAGAGGCTTGTTGCACAAAAGGATTCATGCAATAGGCCTTTCCTTCCCTGGCTGCCAGCACCGGTTTTCCTCCGGCACCCGGGACCCAGGCCTTCGCTCAGGCCGGAGCCACCTTCAAGCCTTTGCTGCCCCGCCCGGTCGCCCCGGGTCAGGTCGCACACGGAATGCCTGCCACCCTGGGTTGCAGATAGCAGGCCCAGATGGCGGCAGGGCAGGTGGAATGGCGCTGTCCCACCCTGCCTGCAGTATGCAAATTAGCCGCCATCTTTGTTGGCGGTTAATTTGCATATCATGCTGATTAGCCAATGGGAGGCGTAGCGAAGGTATGGTCAATTACCATGTTTGTCTATTATTTGATAGGATTATATAAGTGTTAAGTTTAATTTTAGAAAGTATAACAATGTACATCTATAAAGCTTATTAAAAGTGTATATTCCTAGCCCCATCTACAGACTCATTAATTTGAGTATAGGGATAAATTTGTGCTTTTAACAAGCACCTCAGGTGATGTTCATGTAGGTGGTTTGCAGAATACACATTGAGAAAACAGGTGTGAGAATTTTTCAGAAATAGAGAAGATGACAAAAAACAGATCCCAATTACTACCAGGAGACAGACTGAAGGACTCTATTTTTATCCCTCTACTTCTACCCCCAAGTGTTTCATATAATAAGCATTCCTGAAAATGAAGAATATAAACTTTTCTAAAATTAATAAATGCAGTGGCTCCTAGATCATGACCCAAAGAGAGCAGACTGTTACTCAGTTTCACATACTTCAAATTGTTTCATGAAACATTTATTAAGAATGACATTTGGCTAGGAACTGTACTGGAAGCTTTCACGTATATAATCTTAATATTCCCAGGATTCCTGTGACATTCCCATTGTAGTAATTAGGAAAGAATACTTTTGACTTCAATAACAGAAATCAAGTTTAAAGTGGTTTAAACCAAAGGAAAAGAGACAGAACAGAGGTGTAGGATTGACTTCAAGGTTGGTTGAGCCAGTCACTGAAGAATGTCATTCAGGACTTAAGTTTTTGTCCATCTCTGCTTTGCCATCTAAAGTGCCAACTTCACCCTAAAGCTGATTCTCCTCTTGGTCATAGGATAGCTCCTGATTACAGAGATGTTATCCTCTCATTCACATCCAGGAGGAGGGCTTGCTGGCTTTTCATAATTCTTCCCGAATAGTAAGGGCCTCACATTAAATTAAATTAAGCCCAAATTAAATTAATGTGGCTTAGACTAGTGTTTTTCAATGTGTGTTTATTATTCACTCAAGGAGTCTTTTTAGACATTTTCTTCCTAAACACCCCTTCCCCATGAAATTTTAAGAACATAGATATTATTATATTTGTGCTTTATACATAAAAGAGTAATTTGATCATCCCAACCTCAAAATGCATGGCCTAGACTAATTCAGGACACCCCTGGAACTGTGGATGGGATCAGCCTTCCTTGGAGCACATGTCCATGTGTGGGAGGTATGGATACAGAGCAAAAATGTGAGTTCTGTTAGGATGGAGAAAGTAGTAAGGAATGGATTCTGGATAGGCAAACAACAGTGGCCAACATTCAAGCTGAGAGACAGAACAGATCATTTGTATTGGTAAGTGGTAAAATCAATTCAGACCAGGATTTCTAACTTCCACGGCAGTGCTGTAGCCACTAAAACTTAGTTATCCATTTTTAGTTTGTCTTGGAGGTAATGTCAACAATGAAGAGAATCTTGAGAGGGGCAATTACGGATTCAAATAGCGATTCTGTACTTACTAGTACTGGTTGTGTGGAAAAATCACTGGAGGAGCTCTGTGAACTTTATATTCTTCATCTTTAAAAGAGAGATTATAATTTCTTGAATACCAGACTGTTAGAAGGATTAAATAAGCTAAACATGTAAAACAACAAGAAAAATGCTTTTGTAAATGTTAGTTCCTTTCCATTATCATTTTTCTTTCTTTTCTTTTTTTTCCTAAATATATTTTTATTGATTTTAGAGAGGAAGGAAGAGGGAGAGATAGAAACATCCATGATGAGAGAGAATCATGGATTGGCTGCCTCCTGCAAGTCCCCCACTGGGGATTGAGCCCACAACCCGGGCATGTGCCCTTGACTGGAATCAAATCTGGGACCCTTCAGTTCACAGGCCGAAGCTTTATCCTCTGAGCCAAACTGGCGCAGTGGTCGGCAAACTCATTAGTCAACAGAGCCAAATATCAACAGTACAAAGATTGAAATTTCTTTTGAGAGCCAAATTTTTTAAACTTAAACTATATAGGTAGGTACATTGTTATTAACTTAATTAGGATACTCCTAAGGCTTAGGAAGAGCCACACTCAAGGGGCCAAAGAGCCGCATGTGGCTCGCGAGCCGCAGTTTGCCAACCACGGGCTAGGGCATCATTTTTCTTTTTGAAAAAATTAGATTCCGAGCAATATAGCGGCATAGGTAAACACCGGAGACTGCTGCCGCAAACAACCACTTCAAAAATACAACTAAAAGATGGAACGCACATCACCCAGAACCACAGGAAGGCTGGCTGAGGAGAGACTCTTCAACTAGAAGGAAAAATAACAGCACACCGAGGCTCAGAGGAGGCGCAGTGTGGAAAATACTCAGGTGCGGAGGTGCGCGCGCAAAGCGGGCTGGTGGCTGAGAGCGCGGTTGTCGTTTTCGGTCAGGGGGGAGTCTCAGACTCTGAGCTCCAGATACGGGCGAATCGCTGGGGACTCGGACCCAAACGGGAGAAGCGGGAGTGTCTGGCATCAGTTGGAAGGCAGCTTTCCCTCCGAGGTTTGCAGCGGTTCCGGGGGTTCTGAGAAGCAGAGCCTCTGGGAACAGGACTGAGGGCACCATAACGGCTCCCTCCGCCCGCCCTGTTGAGCCCGCCCCGCCCAAGCCCTGCGCAGAGCCATTTGCCAGATCGCCTCAGGCAAAGGCTAGATTAGCACCTCCCCAGAGGACAGAAGTTTTCCGCGGCAGACACAGCTGATTCACACAGCCAGTCGGCCTGGTGGTCAAATCCCTCTAGTATTAACTACAACAATCAAGGCTCAACTAGAACAAGACTGCGCACAAAGACCACTAGGGGGTGCACCAAGAAAGCATAAAAAATGCGGAGACAAAAAAACATGACAGAAATGGAGGATATAGAGCTAAAAATCGCAATTTTGAGGGCTTGCAAAAATGTGCTAGAAGCTGTCAATAAACTTGAGGAGAGAGTCACGAAAACTAATGAGACCCTCGATGCTATGATAAAGAACCAACTAGAAATTAAGCATACACGGACTGAAATAAAGAATATTATACAGACACCCAATAGCAGACCAGAGGAGCACAAGAATCAAGCCAAAGATTTGAAATGCGAAGAAGCAAAAAACACCCAACCGGAAAAGCAAAATGAAAAAAGAATCCGAAAATACGAAGATAGTGTAAGGAGCCTCTGGGACAGCTTCAAGCGTACAAACATCAGAATAATTGGGGTGCCAGAAGATGAGAGACAGCAAGATATTGAAAACCTATTTGAAGAAATAATGGCAGAAAACTTCCCCCACCTGGTGAAAGAAATGGACTTACAGGTCCAAGAAGCGCAGAGAACCCCAAACAAAAGGAATCCAAAGAGGACCACACCAAGACACATCATAATTAAAATGCCAAGAGCAAAAGACAAAGAGAGAATCTTAAAAGCAGCAAGAGAAAGAGACTCAATTACCTACAAGGGAATACCCATACGACTGTCAGCTGATTTCTCAACAGAAACTTTGCAGGCCAGAAGGGAATGGCAAGAAATATTCAAAGTGATGAATACCAAGAACCTACAACCAAGATTACTTTATCCAGCAAAGCTATCATTCAGAATTGAAGGTCAGATAAAGAGCTTCACAGATAAGGAAAAGCTAAAGGAGTTCATCACCACTAAACCAGTATTATACGAAATGCTGAAAGGTATCCTTTAAGAAGAGGAAGAAGAAAAAGGTAAAGATACAAATTGTGAACAACAAACATGCATCTATCAACAAGTGAATCTAAGAATCAAGTGAATAAATAATCTGATGTACAGAATGAACTGGTGATTATAATGAATCAGGGACATAGAAAGGGAATGGACTGACTATTCTTGGGGGGGAAAGGGGAATGGGAGATGCGGGAAGAAACTGGACAAAAATCGTGCACCTATGGATGAGGACAGTGGGTGGGGAGTGAGGGCGGAGGGTGGGGTGGGAACTGGGAGGAGGGGAGTTATGGGGGGAAAAAAAAGAGGAACAAATGTAATCTGAACAATAAAGATTTAATAAAAAAAAAGAAAAAATTAAGTAATGCTTAGGAATTCATGGTCTAAAAATATATATTATTACTAGAACTTGCAAAACTATTTATTTGAAATTCATCTCCTACTCCCTTTCAAAAGTTGTTTATTTTTTACAGAATGAATACTGTAGTTAGCATACTTTAGTAATTGTTACATCCACAACTTCAGGAAGATGACAGCTCTCTACACTGTAAGCTCTGTAAAGATGGGAGGGAAAGTGTATTTTCAATGATTTGTGATGTGTGCCAGTTGCAGAGAAGCTGAATGTTGAGTGTAAAGAAAGTTTATAAATTGCTTTTAGTTTTGTGGTTATGACCTTCTGGTCTGATATGAATTTTCATCTATTCTTTATTTTCTAGGACAAATCTATTAGCACTAGTTTACCTGTCCTAGATTTAATAGATGCCATTGCACCAAATGCAGTTCGTCAAGAAATGATAAAGAGAGAAGACTTTTCTGATGAAGACAAGCTGAACAATGCTAAGTAAGCTTTTATTATTTGTATTAGAACATAGTGGCTCTTTAAATTCTTGAATCCATACAGGTGAGGTTAATATGTCCTTAAAATTCACATTTTTAAATACAACTTGTAAAGGAAATATGATTTAACTACTCATAACCTTAACTTTTTTGTAAAGTTAAATCTTATAAAAATATTTCATTAATAACGTATATTAAGTGAAAACACAGTAGATAACAAATAACAAGATATTGTTCTTGTTTTTTAAAGATACGCCATTTCAGTTGCTCGAAAGATTGGTGCCAGGATATATGCCTTACCTGACGACCTCGTGGAAGTGAAACCAAAGATGGTCATGACGGTGTTTGCATGCTTAATGGGAAAAGGACTGAACAGAATAAAATAAACATTTAATATGATTTTCTGCCACATTAACACATTGAATGCCTCACAGTTTACAGAATTTTGAAATGTAGTAGGTATAAAAGCAAAGATTACTTGTATGCTCAAAACAATTGTAAAATTCATTAATGAATTCAATATCCTATTCATGCTAGTTAGAGTTTGTCGACCTTTTTGGATAACACAATTAATTTACTAGTATTTACTGATAATAGAATATATTCATCATCAAGCCGATATTTTGCGATTATTTTCATTTCCAGAAAGTCTCATTAAAACAAGACTAATTTATTCTTTTTCATGGTTCAGAAAGATCAATACAAAATTTTTTTTTGCAAGTCCTGTGAAATGTATTTTGATTTGTGTTAATTTTGATCATAAATACATTAAAAGTCATAATTCAGTTTCATCACTTTGTTTTTTCCCTCTATGTGCAGTGGTCTAAGCTTTAACTTTTCTGTAAATTTCTATATTGTCTAAAACTTTTAAGTGATCCCATCGCTGCCACAAAAAAACAAACAAAAAACTTTTAAGTGACAAGTATTGTTCTAGCAACATTAAATTTTTTTACATATGAGAACTAACTCCTGAAGAAATCCCAAAGTTTATTCTCTTATGTAAGAAGCCAGAGCTTTTTACTTAAAACTTAATTTCAACTCCATTCATACTTTATATATGCTAGTTTGGTAATGACAGGCAGCATACATATGTTGACAGGATGTTATTAGGGAAATATGTGTGTGTATGTGTATATTTTGCACCGAATTACCTGAGTTTTCTTAAATGGTATGTATAATTGGTAAGTCAGCCAATCAATAAGTATTTATTGTGCCCCCACTGTGTGTACTTTTCAGTTTGTAGCTATTTGGTACATGAAAATTTCTTTTAGAAATATTCATTTTTGATGTGCATATGGTAATTTGTGACTGACTTCTTCCAAATATTTAGAGCCAAACATTGGCTAGAGGATTTCAAGATATGTTGATGCTATAATGTTAGCTTCATGTTACAGATGCTAATTTTGATCTCTACTGAAGCCCTAAATAATTTAGAACATGCCTACTGGATATCTTTAGCAGAAAGTAACACAAGGTATTTTTTAACATAGAGCATTTTCATGTTTTTTTTCTGCAGCCTCCTACAAGTTGGCAATGTTTGGTGAATGCTTGGGATACTTAGGAACAACTAAGTCTGAGACCTATTTTTGTCTGAATTTTTAGGAGTGGAGAGATTCTTTACTAACAGTTGAATTCAGAAATCTGCTTTATTCATCTTCCACTGTCAGTACCAGTGAAACTGCTGTGCAACAAAAATACTGTCACTTTATGTCCGTATGAATGAGAAGTCTAACTTCCCTTTTTACCATGTGTTTAGAATTTTTAACTGAAATTATGAACAGGTGGAACTATGAAGTATATTCTTCTACAAGAGAGATTTCCTTTCCTTTTATATTTTGATGATTTTTTCCCCTATATGATGATTAAGATATGTTCTTGCTCTTTTGTGAGATTATTTAAATCATGTTTCCCCTTTTGATTTTTTTCACCATATATTTACTAAGTTATCTTATTTACATGAAATTTAGCACTTCAGGGTGTTCTTTTTCTCACAAAGTATATTTAATAAAAATTCTGTGTATGTACAAATGTGTCAGTATTTATTTTATTTAAATCAAAATAGAGAACCCTGAAAATTAATCTATATATATAAAAGCCTGCCACAACCTTTGTGGCAGGATTTAGGATCTGAGGAGGGGCCAATGCACAAATGAAAATGCTATACAAGAAATATGAATTTAGAAGACATTGTGGGGCAGGTGGAGCCTTTCTTGAAGAAAGACACTGACTCTGGCCTGGTCCGCTATTTATTTACTTGAACACACATGTGCCCTTTAGCAACGCATACAGGCATATCAAAGGTAAATTTTGGTAAACAGTAAAAGGATTATCAGGTTAGGGAATTGCCTTGAGCCACCACTATCTCAACAGACGAGGTGCTTAGCATCAGCCCTGCTAATGCCCAAGGTCCATCAGCCTTCCGAGTTCCTTGGTGCACTCTCGTGACAGTATTGGCAAGCGGTGGCTTCCTGTAAAAGCCTAATATGCAAATTGTCCCCTCAGGAGTTCAACTGGGAGACCAGGAGTTTGATTGCTCGCTATGATATGCACTGACCACTAGGGGGTGGTGTGGAATGAAGGAAGGCCCTGGCCAGCAGCCGGCAGCCGGGGAAGGGAGGCCCTGGCTGGCAGCTAGAAGGCCCCGATTTGCCCTGATCACCAGCCTAGGCCTAGGGACCCTACCTGTGCATGGATTTCGTGCACTGGGCCTCTAGTCTATTATACGGTTATTTTCCAGAAAGGAGAAATTAAAAATACTAAAACAAAATTCCTAATTATTTAGTTTGTAAAAATAATTGCTTAAAACTAATTATTAAAACAAAAAAAACACTTATTAGATTATTTTGGGAGAGTGAAGGTGGTTCTATGGTTTTTTAACATGAAATTTAATAGAGACCAGCTTCATATTACTACACATTTAGTTTGTGTGGAAGTAATTACAGTGAATCAACCAATCCAATAAGATAAATTTGCCTATTATGATCCCGGTATGACATTAGACACTGGAGATTCAGTCAAGAAAAATATATGACCTCATGAATCTTATATCCTAGTGAAGAGAGACAGGTGATAAACGGGAATTTTAGATAATGATAACTGTAGTAGGAGAAAAAAAATGGTAACATGATAGAGACTGACTTGGGAACTAGGGTGAATATTATTTTAGTTTGGGTGGTCAAGGAAGGCCTCTTTAAGGATGTGAGTTTAGACAATATAAATGATGAGGCAGAGCTAAGTGTTCAACAGAGGGAATAAGTGTAAAGGCTCTGATGCAGGAAGCGTCTTGTAGGAATTTCAGGAAAAGAAACAGTCAGATGTGGCCTAGGAGTAGTGAAGGAGAAATAGAGAGCTTGGAGACGTAGATAGGATCTATTCTACTTATAGGACTAGATCTGAATCTGGATTTTCTCCTCTCCAACTGGAGTTGCAGATGGCTCTTCTTTTGTATCTGTGGTTTGGTGAGTTGCTCTGAATAATGTGCTATGGAATCTTGCATTCTACTGTTCATTAAAACTCCATCATGGTCTCCATATCACAAATGCAAGATAAAGACTGCTTTATGCTAGATAAAGAGTGTACCATAGAGGCAAGAGAGAATAAGCTACATCTGAGATGATTCCAAGACTCTGAGTAACAGGATGCAGTTGCAACTCTGACTTACCAGTATTTTTGAAAGGAATTTTAGAGACAGGATAGGCAGTCAGGGAATAAGAGGGGTGGTCCATGGGAGAGAAATGCATAGGTGAGGGCTGGGAGCCACCAGAATGCCTATCTTACCTTTAAGAGGATAGAGAAAGGTCACAAGATAAGGGGAAGGGAAAGGCATACATTCACAGAGGATAGGAGAATGTTGCAAGAAAAGAGGGAGAGAAAAAGGGGGGTACCAGGTGGGCTTTGACCTTTTAAACTGATACTCTGCAGAAGAATGGCCAATTAGAAAGAGTCCAATTAGAAGGGGTCATGTTCAGACAAAGAGCTACCAGAATATATAAATCAGAGACAAAGAGACTCAGAACAAGATTTAGATTTTTTTCCCATTTTAGAGAGAGAGAGAGACAGCAGGCTTTTCACATTTGGGGACCCAGGAGGAGTTTGAATATGCTTCCAATAAACTTTCACCTTTTTACATAAAATCTTTTAGTCCATGAATTTATTCTTCAAATTTTGTAGGACAAGAACCCACAAGGAAGAGTCCACACCCCAACTCCATGTATCACTTTGAAGGAAGAAAAGCCCTCTAATACTCTGGAATGCCTGGTAGGTCTGTCCACTAAAGTAGGCCGGAATTCCCCTGACTCTAAGAAATTAATCCAGCCCCTGTGGAAGTCCAGAGGGGATAACCTAAACCCAGAAGCTTGAGTAGACTTAAAAGTGTATGTATAGTTTTGAGCCATCTGAATTTTTATCCTCAAACATTTGAACTTTTGGATGGGTCATGGTTAGAGTGGTTCTGCTACTGAGTAAAAATTTTACTGGGTAAACTCACACACACCAACCCAAGCATGTTACCAGTGTGTTCACTGGCCACAAATTTACAGTGAGCAACTTTGACATTTCACCAAATACACAAACTTGGAACTGAATCCAACAGTATAGAAGGGGGAGACTTATGATCTACTAGAGTTTTTGTTTGTTTGTTTGCTTTTTGTTTTTTTAAGGCTAAAATGGGCCTGGCCAGTTTTTCTCAGTGATTAGAGCATTGATCTGCACACCAAAGGGTCTCGGGTCGATTCCTGGTAAAGGGCATGTACCTGAGTTGTAGGTTCATTCCCCAGCCGCAGCCTGGGTAAGTTCAGGAGGGAACCAGTCAATGTCTCTCTCTCTCTCTCTCTCCTTCCCTCCCTTTCTCTCTCTTCCCCTAACCCCCGACTCCCTTTTTTCCACTCTCTCTGAAAAAGCAATGGAAAAAATATTCTCAGGTGAAGATTAACAACAACCACAAAAGACTAAAATGATTCACTAAATAATCCACTATTTTGAAGTCAACACATAAAAATGTTTAGAAAGGTGGACAATCTTGTTCAGTAAGGCCTCTTAGAGAAGATCTAAAGAGTACTTTGAATGATGATAAAGATATATTTAGGAAATTTGGGAGCTGATGTTGGCAGGGACAGGATGGAACAAATCAACCTGAACAAAAGAGGAGGTAAGTATTTCCCTTAAATACAAGATACTTCTAAGTAAATTTAAAGCCTTGGCACAATTTAGATTTTGCACAGTTGGTTACGGGAAGCAATAATAATTATTCAAGCCATATAATTTCCAGGTCTTCCCACCCCCAACCCTGGGTTTTAAAGGTGCGAGAATTTGCTTTAATTAAAACTTTGATTAAGAAAATAAATTATTGATCTGGTCGGTGTGGCTCAGTTGGTAGGGTGTCCTCCCAGGCACCAAAAGGTTCCTCCATCAATTCTGGTCAAGGCACATGCCAGGGCTGTGGGCTCGATCCCCGCTAGGGGGCGTGCAGGAGGCAGCCTATGCATGTTCTGCTTTAACATCAGTATTTCTTTCTCCCTCTCCCTTTTTCTCTAAAAACCAATAAAAATATTTTTTTAAAAAGAAAAATTATTCAAGGAAGTAGCACTTATTGTGCTGCAGTTGGCTTTTGCCTAAATAACACTCATCTTTAAAATCAGATTTATAAATGTGTAGATGAAGAAGCCATTGAAGGACTGTGATGCAGTCTATTCTAAAAACGTGCTTATCCATGATTACGTGACAATACACCTGAATTACATGCGAATAAACGCATGAATCGGGAATGTGGCGCCTTTCTACTATCACAAACGAGTTGCTAAAAGAGTCTTCAGAAATTCAGGAAGCAGGGACGTCTGGCCGCGCGGCGAGGCAGAGGGCACAGGGACAGGAATGACCGGACAGTCACACAGGGCTGTCCATTGACGTGAGCCCTCACGGTTCAGCCGCCCCGCAGCCTGTGGGCTTCCGCGCAGCAGGAGGCGGCGGGGAGGTCGCGGCGCTGAGCCGTGCTCCTCCGTCCGAAGCCTTCCAGGTCAGTCAGCACGC